AGTGCCATACTCACTGAGCCACAGGCCCCTTATTGAGCATTTATCTATGTCATTCACCATTCTAATCTCTATTATAAGTAATAACTTTTAACTTTCAAATTTTTGAGTTAGGTACTGTTATCCCCTTTTAAAAGATGTAAAACTGAGGTACAGAGAGATTATATACGCTGCCCAAAGTTTCACAATATATAAGTGGCAGAGCTGGGATTAATAAGTTAGTTACTATCATAATGCTGCTCTTTTCCTATATGAGTGGACAAAAAGAACTCTCAGGATATTCTTGTAACAGCAGATACTGACCTGCTAGACATTCTGCTGTGTATTGGTGGAAAAACCAAAAAAAACCTTTTGATAGGGTTACAGGCACCCAAAAGACTAGATTATATATAAAACTCAATGATATACTAAGAATACATTAATTAAATGTATAGTGTAAACATTTATAGAATTTAGTAGTGTGTAATTTACTAAGTGTGCAGTACATGTATGGCAGAACTACTTGGATGTAGCGGCAGATACTTAAGAGAATAAAAGGAGAAGGCTGTTCTAAAGTGGCAGCATATGGAATCATACTACATGGATAAACTAGAATGTCTGGCAGAGGAGTGTAGACATGATACAGTAGGAAATTGATTGCAATGGTATTGAGCATAAGGTCTTGAAGAAGAGGAAAAAATACTAAGTCAAGAGTGAGGGTGGTGACCTGAAATAGGCTGTAAACAGCAATAGGAGAAGAGAGAAAGAGAAGAATGTAAATGGAAAAACAGATGAGACTTATGTGGTTTTTTTTAGCCATCTAGGGTTAAAGTAGTGGAAGAAGGACTCAAAATAATGTAAAGGTTTCAAATTTGAGAAACGAAAGGGAAATACAGGTGCTGTTATATTTCAAGATGGAGCAAAAAGACAGAAGTTCTTTCAGTGTAGTGAGTTTGAAATAGAAATGCAAGTTGAAAATATCCTAAAGGCAGTTGAACTGAAGAGGGAAGATCAGGTTAAGTTTTCTTAGAAATGCTTATCTAAAATTAAGTAGCACAAAGAGATTTAAGCTATGAATCTCCTTCAAAGAGTCTGTTATAATGAGAAACAACCAGAAGGCCATTGACTCAATCTTCGAGAACATTTTTATTTAAGATGGAGGAGGAGGAAAAAATAAGACCAAGAAATGGTCAAAAAGGTAAGAGAATCTGGGTGGTATAAGTCACAGAAAACCAACAGAGATCCGCTGTCTTTTGCCTGCTCTTTAAAATGTTGGAATACTTGGGTTCAATTTTTGTTTGTCCTCTGTTCTTATCCAACTCATGCCATAGTTTTACTGCAGTATTTCCACATGCCTAAAGGACATAGTTGAAAATCTTATGTCTTAGAATTTAGCTTTCCAAAGGTGATCGTAACCAGACAAAGCTTTTTTAATTTCTATAGTCTGAATCTTGGTTAAAGACAATATATTCAGTCACCCAAGCCCATCACCTTGGAATTATTCTTGAATTTTTCCTTGTTCTTATTTAATGATTTTAAAGTACCAAATCCTATTGATTCCACTTCAGCAGTAGCTCTTGTTAAAACTCTTAAGTTTAGCTTCTCTTTATAACTTAGTTCAGACATTCCATAGCATTCTTGTACACTATCAAAATTGTCTTCTAAATTAGTAGTTTCCAACCTTTTTGGCACCAGGGACGGGTTTTGTGGAAGACAGTTTTCCACAGATGTAGTGGGGATGGTTTTGATATGAGTCTAAATTAAGCAACTGATTTATTACGTCTCTGTGTAGTCAAACCTTTCTGTACTATTTGCAGCTGTTCCCCAGTGCTAGCATCACCACCTCAGCTCCACCTCAGCTCATCAGGCATTAGATTGTCATAAGGAGCGTGCAACCTAGATCCTTCATATGTGGGGTTACAGTAGGGATCCCACTCCTGAGAATCTAATGCCACCACTTATCTGACAGGAGGCAGTGTCAGACGGCGATCTGAGTGATGGGAAGCACTCTACAGATGAAGCTTCCCTCACTCACCCAATGCTCACCTCCTGCTGTGTGGCCCGTTCCTAACAGGTTATGGACTAGTACCGGTCTGTAGCTTGGGCTTACAGATTATAGTTCTAAATGGTCTCATGACTATAGTCTGTCTGCCACCAAGCACCATGGTTTTTAAAAAAAACTCATTATGTCTCCTTCCTACTTAAATCCCAGTGGACTCCTACAGGATACAATCTCAATTCTTTAGCTTTCATAAAAACCAGTCATGACCTAAATCCAACTTTTAAGGGAGGTAATTATAAAGCACTAGCACTTTGCCTGGCCTATGGTAAATACTTTGTTTAATCAATAAAGGTGGTCAGCTCTATGTCACAGAGCACAGTAATCAAGGAGACACAAATTAAAAAGCTTTTGGTATTAACTACATTTGAATACTTCTTGCCTATTAAAAGGTAGAACCAGTAACTGTCCTATTTCATGGCTTACAGAGCTAATAAGAAAGCCCCTGTAAAGGATGCTGGATGCATCCAATCTTACCAATTCTTAGAAGCTAAGCAGAGTTGGCCCTGGTTAGTGCTTGATTGAGAGAAAGCTCCTAGAAAAGTTAGCAGGACCACTGTAAGTGGAAATCAGATAAAGCCATCTACTGCACAGATACTTGTACAAATGACTTATGTTTTAATTATTTTTTGGATTTATAAATATTCCCAATATGAAGCTGTGGGCTTATAAGTCTAAGAGTGGGCAACAGATCTTCATGATGATGGAATTATATACTAATATAATCCTACAAATTCTAACCCTCATTTTTAGATTTCAGAGATATTCATGAATAGGTTATCTATAATTCTGTCTATACAAATATCATATGCTTGACAAATTCTGAAACTCCCCAGTTTCCTACCACCAAGGCTACTCATAATTAGTCTTTTTAAAAGGATAAATAGGTTTAACAATTTACTCTAATTTTTTTAGGATAAATATTTAATGTGGCCTACCAGATCTCAAAAAGGGAAATCCTATATAATGCCCCAGTTAGAGACTCTACATGATCTAACAGGTGTGCTTTCCTGTGACAGTATAAAGCTTTCTCACATCTCTCCTTTATAAAGAGTGGATCAGTTAGGATTAGGTTTGGCTGCATATACAGAGTCTCAGATTAACAGTGGTTTAGTAGATAGTTTACTGTTCTCTTACATAAAAGTCTAGAGATAGGTAGTTCAGGGCAGGAATGGCAGCTCTGTTCTATCATCTTCACGAACTCAGGCTCCTTCTAGCTTTTCCCCATGGCATCTGTAGGGCACAGCCCTCTCTTCATTGTATAGGTTGGATGTTAGGCTTCTTATCCATGTTTCACGCAGCAGAGAGAAGTGAAGAATGGATAACAGTTGACATAGAAAGATTCCTGGAACCTACCATGATGACACTTTTACTTTAGGAACTCTTGCTGCTACTCTTATGCTTCATAGTCTTTAAATACATGCGTATGAAAGCATTCATCCTTTTAGTATATGTCCCTATTGTTTTATTTATTAATTTTTTTTCTTTTCAGCATCTGGTGTATGGAAAGCATTGAACAGTATTTGTTGAACTTACTAGACAATCACTCCTTTCAATATTTTTTCCCCTTGGTGATGAAGATACTTCCCTGAAAATACATATTTGCCTCCCTAAAATCCCATTCATAATTATTGTTCTTGAAATTTTAAAGGAATAATGATGGTAAAAAAAAAATAGATGTATATACATATAAAAAATTTAGTAATATAGAAAC